TGAGTTGGGGACATAGTCTCTAACAAATGTGTTTGTACTGTAAAGAATTACCATAGGGTGTAATATATTTTGGGTAAATCCATATAGGCCTTGGCCCTAGATTTCACTCTTTTAAACTAAAAAGTAAATAAAATATATAACTACCATTGTGAATTTCTTTGCAAACATCAATGATAACTTTGGGTTAGACCTAAGCAGGTAAAAAGAGACTGACAATGTCATAACATATCCTCTCTAATTCATTATTTACAACAATAATCAATTACCCGACTCACAAACAACTGATTATATCTAACATATATAAATCAACTCCAACTGCAGATCCTAAGATATCCATATATCATCGCATAAAGTAACCCACATGAAATAATTCCTCTCAGAACTCACATTGCAGGCTGCGACAGCAGAGCTACACAGAAATTCCAGAGTTGTTATTGACTCGCCCACTGCAGTCGCCGCGTTTAACAGGCGACGTCCATCAGCGGCGACTGGGTGCGTTCATTAATTTCATCTAAGTTTCACACATGTTGTGTATTTATGATGATTATTTGCTCGTTTCTTTTGTATGTTATTTGTGTTGGATATTATTTGGAGGCTTGTTTATATTTCAGTGGATGATTTTATTTTCGACAGACATTATGTGGCGTGTTTATTGGGCGAATCATGCATATGGGCCGTTTTTTTTAGACCTTTAAATATGCATGCATATTTGCGAAATATACAAGAAAGTTGGTAGCTATTATTGTGTAACTAAGTACATAAACAGTTTACAACTATTTTTATTATTATAGCATATTTTTATAATTTACTACAACTGCTACTCTTGCTATTACTACTACTGCTGGTTCTATCTACGGCCATATAATGACGTAATCTGAAAGACATCAGCATTAATCATGTCGGGATCCATTGTTAATACGGCTACCTAATATATAATGGGTTAATAATTGGTGACTACGTTTACGGAGGTCATTCATGTGCCAGGCCTTGCCAGACCTGTACCTTTATGAAAATCCCTTTCGCCTATTTCTGTAAAGAATACTCGTATTTGCATTAGTAACAAGACTGATCAATGAGCATCCAATATGTAATGATTTTAGAGGGTCTCGCCAGATCAATCCTACCATAATCAAGCTGCATTATAGGTTTGCCCCATTCCCACCTCCTCTACGAGAATCACCAACAGGAGGCGGCGGCAGAGAGCCCTGGAATTTTGGAGCTACTTGTTCCTAACCCGGCATGGGTTATAATTTTTGCACAAATCCTGGCTGAGTATACACAATCTTGATGCAGTTCTACAGTACGGTCATTCGTGTTGCCGCGTTTGTTGGCGCCTAGCAAGAGAGCATAGGCATAGGAAAAAGGGAGGCGACTGCCCCCAAGCTAGAATTGAGGAGGGCGGGACCCAACTTTTGCCCCTCCCATCCTCAACTTTCGAGGACGTTCTCCGTAAACAAACAAACAGTGCAATTCCTTGGGTACCCATTGGTTGAGAACACTGACCCCCTGGGACTGAAAAGGCAACCACAATTGAGTGTTGTTCATAATAAGATAACCAATCTGTCAAGTATTATCTTCGCCCCCTGGTATCCCACTGGAGCACTGCCCCAGTACCCCTGGCTATTTTTGGAGGGAATCCCCCTGGCTCCTCCCGCTTCAAAATGCGTTCCTGCGCTTCTAGAGTCAAAAGCCCCCATCAACACGAAAGATGTTGGGAGAACTGCCATCGGATAAACGAGAAAAGAGGTTGTGAGGATCCCATGTCATCAGATCTGAAATGAAGACCGTTGTCACCAGTTGTCTACGAGACGGGAGTGGTCTTAGTGCAAGTGAATGAAAGGGGCCTTGGTTTGTGAGTTTATTATGGAAAGTAGATGTGTGAACCGTAAGAGACCTGTCTCCCAACGTGCTGAGGAAAGAGTGGTGACGAGCTAGACCGTGTGTGTCTTCGTCTCTTTGCCCATCTTTCTCTCCCCTCTGTCTGACGAGGCATGTCCACTAAAGGATAAACTTACTACTGGAAGGTATCTGCTGGAGACAGAGGTGTGAAGCGTAATATCCGTCTTTGTTGGATATTGTTCACAGCCTCCGAGTACTGATCATCCTGTACAGACCCCCGCAAAGACGAACTCTGTGAGTGGATGTGAACAAACTCCTACATTCCATGGAGAGAGACACTAGCCTTCCGCAGCCTGCAGCGCCTGCGGAAAACCAAGGATCCATGGGAGTTCCTTGTCAGCAGCTACCTCAACATCGGTGATGGAGACAGCAGCGTTTTACTATCCCAGCCCGATCGAGGAATTGCAAGAGATAGTATAACAGTCCTCAAAGTAGGCGATGGGACGGCCTCAACAGATCGCTTCTAGTCCGAAACAAGCTGGTTTGAAACCAAAGACCAGCACATTAATAAGGTACATTGTCTTAGCCATGGGATATAGGTCTGATCCATTTCTAGGATTCTCAGAGCCGCAGTCCTGGGAAGGCATAGTAGACGCCTTCGACGCAACACGTCCATTAGCATCTCATGAACAGCCACATTGCTTCACCTTGGTTTCATTTAGGGGGAGATTCTGTGACCTCTCCTGCAGAAATCCCTTTTGACGTAGCTTACTGATTAAGTAAATGGAGAGATGATCTGACTATATTATGGCTTTCCATGCAATGCATGTCAGGAGACCACAGAATTTATCAGGTGTGAAGAAACGTAAAGGGAAGCCCATGCAGTAAGTGACCAGAGGGCAGGCAAAGTCAGCATAAAAGGTTGAGTGGTCTGTAGTAAGAGTAGTCGACTGGCAATACCCTGGAAAACTCTCAAGGTTGAAATTCTATTCTAAAATTCCAGGCTAGGACATGTGCTCTTTCCTCTTATTCCGGTCTTGACTATCTTACATATGGAGTAGTGAGTCCGAGTTTCTTTTTTCCATCTTAGACTTTCACCTTGGCTGAGGTACGTCGACAGTTCTTCCCTTCATACCACATGATCCCGGATTTTTGAAGGAACAAAAGATTCCCTCACTATACATTGTAAAATCGGAATAGGTTTAGTTCCTAGGATGTTGAAGAAGGATCGCTCTCCCCAGTAGTCAGTAGTCCAAATTCCCTAGCATGATAACGCTGGCTCCGTTTGAACGAGTTCACGTTAACGACCCTCCCCTAGTGTTTATAAGTTTCTAGGCTTACCATAACATCATTAACACTACGCCCTTGGTTTCCCACCTTTTATTCTCCTTGACCCATTATTCCTAGTATACTCTTGACCAGTTGAAAAGCCTAATCTTAGGCATATTCTTGTAACACATCTGAGAGGCTCTCCGTTTTCTTTTGTGACAGACGTGTTTCAGTAATTTGGCGTCATTGACATTTGACTGCAATTAAAAGGGTAACATTATCAGGTACTTGGCCAATCGAGAGGTTCACGGGTAGACACAGTTTAGGCCCGATAATCTTGTGTGTGTGTGTGTGTGTGTGTGTGTGTGTGTGTGTGTGTGTGTGTGTGTGTGTGTGTGTGTGTGTGTGTGTGTGTGTGATTTCTTACCTGAGCTAAGCTCAGATGGTCCTAGGAAAACCTGCTTTCTCTGTGCACACACCCTTAGGAACACCCAACTTTTCGTAATTTTCGAGGGATTCAAACGCAGTTTGTTGCTTTTACTAAAGCATCGGAACCCTGAAACCATACGAATAGCCGATATTTTTTTATTTTTGAATAGATAAAAATATAGATTATGTAAAGCTGAAAAAATAACTAAAAATAGTACTCTTATGTCAACCAGTCCCCCCCCCAAAGGAAATTAAAAAATCGGCTACTTATGTGGTCTCAGAGTTACATGTGTGTGTGTGTGTGTGTGTGTGTGTGTGTGTGTGTGTGTGTGTGTGTGTGTGTGTGTCATTGATGAAAATAGGAAATATCGGCGCCAAGACCAATCCTTGAGGCACTCTGCTGGTCACTGTAGAGTCTTCCCTCTAATTACGGTGCTTAGCTGTCTCTCATGAAGGAAATCATTCCATCCACCCAGCTGTCTTTTTCTCGTAATATTTGAGAAACTTTGTCATAAAAACAGGAGATTTGCTACACTTAATCTTCCTTTCCGAAAACCAAACTGCTTATTTGATATCATTTCGTGTTTTTCAAGTACTGCAGCCCATTGTTTCCTAATTATCCTTTCTAACAGCTTATATACTACACTCATTAACGAAAGAGGTCTATAATTTAGAGGATATTGTTTGTCGCCGCTCTTATATAAGGGTATAATGTTGGCGAGATTCCAACCTTTTGGTAGAATTTTGGAATATTAAAAAAAGGAGGAACACATAGTTCTTCGAAACAGTTAGAATTTTCATCTGGTCTGTATGCTTTAGTCTTGTCTAACCCTTTCAGGTCTAATATTTAATTCTTTTTGTGAGTGGTATTTTCTATATTTTTCTTAACGTTTGTATGGTTATTTGCCATGGTAAAATATGGGTTCTGAACAAACACTGACTGAAACTTCTTATTAAGGATTACACAGCGTCTAGATACGTGTGTGTGTGTGTGTGTGTGTGTGTGTGTGTGTGTGTGTGTGTGTGTGTGTGTGTGTGTGTGTGTGTGTGTGTGTGTGTGTGTGTGTGTGTGTGTGTGTGTGTGTGTGTGTGTGTGTGTGTGTGTACTGGGAAATATATGCAAAGCAAATATTCTCATTACTTGAAAGGGATATCTGATAAAAATAGGGAAAATGTGCGTAAAACAAAGTGAATCGATCCACTCTGTTAAAGTTTAAGAAATACTTAGCCTAAAAACAGTTAAATGATCACATTTGAAAGGCAAAATAAAATTCTATGAAAAAGTGATCCCGTAAAAATACCAATCCTAGGAAATCGACACAACCGTCCAGAGAGTAAACAAAAGATTTACCGAGCCTAAATATCTTTAAAAGGTAGTTTATCTAATAAGTTAAAGAAAATAAAACGATTTGATATTTAATGTTTGAATACATTTCATTTCTTTATATATCTTGTTTCCTTTT